TTCTACATACTGCTTCTTTTATCAGCTCCAATCTCTCATTCTCCAGGGAAAGCAGTACAGAAGTGTCTTGTCCTTTGATAGCAATAGATAACTAACCTCATTTTGTAAAAGCAGAACTAAACAGAGTTATTCTTTGTCTTCAGCAGGAGCAGTGAATCAGATCTCATTGCCTTGTACTGAACCCCTTTTAAGGCAATTTGATGCCTTACACATGATCATTGAGAAGCTTCTATTTGTACCTTTCCCCCCCCTGCTCTTTACCTGTCATTTCTTTATGCAACAGGGGACCAGAATGTTTTGTGTCTAAAAGAAATAGGACTGGTTATATTTCCTGAGGCTGTATTTTCAGGCCTTCTGCATCCGTACCCATCCATTACGTTCAGGTCAAATTTTTGTCTTTCTGTAGCAGCAAGGATTAAAGATGTAATTGCTTTTAAAGTAGACATTTTCACCTCTCCTTAGCCACATAACCCGGGGCTTTAGATTAACACTTCTCTGCCTCAGCCTTCATCTAGCCAGTGTTAATCAACTAAAAAAATATATTAGCCAACCACCACCTTATTTATCAAAACTCCTTTTCCTTGATTGTAGGCCACACTAGATATGTACTGACAGGCTAAATCAAAACCAAATGACAGAAATACTTCAAATTTAGCTAGGTATTTGATACAGTGCCATAAAGACTGTGATCTCTCTGCACCTCTGCCTAGACTGACCTGCTACTGAGTTGGTAGGCATTAGACAAACCAAGACAGCACTTTCATGTCCTGTGAGGACTCCTATGATCCAAAGGAAGAACATGAAGACTTGATGCAAATCACAGAAATCACCTGGTGTGATTTTGTTTAAATGATCTACATGACAGATATCAGTGTCTTTCTGCACAGTAGGTATGACAAATCAAAGTGACTTAGGACAAAATGCCTGTTATACTGACAGATGGAAAGTGAACAATCTGTACGAAATTATGTTTCTCTGGCAAAAATAAACTGAAATGGAGCACCATGAAAATTTAAATAAACAAAAGCTTCAGTATTATAATTCCCCATACCATTTTTATAATTAAATGAGAAGTACTTCACACTTTCATGCAACAATCAGATGACTGTGAAAAACCACAAGTTCACCTCTCCAGACATTCACACCTGTGTTACTCCAGACCATTGACTTCAGTGGAACAATACCTGATTTAAAGTAAAGCAAGAAGAGAAACAGACCTGAAGAGTGCAAGTAAACCTGAGGTTTTTGATGAAACATAATTCTCAGCATGAGATGCAAAAGGTGACTTTCCTGACAAGTGCTACCCAAATTCTTAATAGCTTTCTGTATGTAACCTCATCTCATCTCATCCTGACATAATCTTAATTAGTCTTAGTTCTACTGCAGAGAAGCCTACTGAGGCAGTTAGCACCATATAATTAATCAGATACTTTGCACACATCACAGCAACCAACAGTGTCAACTTACTGATGTGAGTTAATACAAACAGAAATCAACCCTGCCTTTCCCTTTCACATGAACTAAACACATGAGGCATGGAATGAACACATGACTATTTCTTCTACACACTGTTTAAGTCCTTTCTTCCCTTAGCAGCCATTTCCTAATGCATCATTACTCTGCAAAGTACTTCTTCTGGTACTAGGAAAGAACATGGAATTTGGTATTTCTCTTAAATTTCTGTTTCTCCATAGAAGAATAAGTCCAGCAACTGAAATAAGCAATGATATGACATAATTCTTGCTGGTGAAAATCATGAATCTCACACTTTATTTTTTTTCTGTGTGCTTTAGAAGGTTTTAAGAAACTGAATTTTACACCTGCACATAAATACATATTTGAGAGCACAATCTGCAACATTCAGTCATCTCATAGCAACGGAAAATAAAATATTATTTTATACTTAAGAATATAAATATATATACAATGTACACACTAAATCACTGGATTAAAAGCTTCACCACCTATCTATGTAATTGTACATCTTAACTTTATTCTATTGTTTGAGATTTATCTTTTGTCTTCATTGCAGGAGCCAAACATGACAGTATTGTACCCAATGTCACCAAGGGGGAAACCATATGATTATATGATTTGATGGCAAAGAACAAAAAGACCACTGCTTAAAGGAAGCAATTTTATAAAGCTCCATTCTCCTAAGCTTAAACTGAAAGAGTTCATTATAACCACAGGGTTTATTCAGTTTTGTATGGCCTCTGTAATATGCTACAGTGCTTATTAATAGAAAATGCAATGTTTAATACATGGTAGTGTTTTGCTTCAGCAGAACACTGTAAAACTACTTGCAAGAACAATTTAGTGCATAACTAAACTCAACATAAGAAAGAACAGTGTAATATTTAGTGATTTCTCAGATTCTCAGCGAGATTATAATCTTTTTAGAAAGGCAGTATTTAAATGATAGTTTATTTCAGTAAACTGCTTAACACCTTCTCCTGACAGTGTTTGTGTCCCAAAGCAGTTAAGTATCCAAGACAGGAATTATTAAAAATTATTACAGCTCTAGTGTTTGCATTTCCAGTGGTATCTCAGCAAAGGAACATGTACAGTCTGTTCACTGCCTGACACAAGGAGTCATTCACCATTATTACTGTCCAAACTCTTGGGATGTTTTTTTGGTATTTGAAGGTCTACCACAAGAAATTAGGGAGCTTACTGGAATTGCCACATATTTCAGATGGTCTCATCCATGATTACCACTCCTCAAACAAAGAACTCTAATGTCCATTTCTCAGTACCTAATTGCCCTGCCTCTCCCTCCTATAGAAAACTTCTTAATTTGTTATAACACTGGAAGACTTATAACTGATAGGAGTGCTACCAAGTTTGTATTAACCAAATTAAAGCACCAGTAGCTAAAGACAATAAACTGTTCATTTTTGTTCCTCTTTTAGCAGATGGCAAGTATGTCACCAAACAGCAGAAAGGAGGATGTATGTATAGGGAGGACAGATAACATGTGGTAACTTTATCCCAAACAACTCAAAACCCATCACCAAGCTACCTATATGTACTGATGCCTCTTCTGTCCTAAAGACACAAGTGTCCTTTATCTTCTAGCCCTCAGCTTCATTTTATAATCCTACCTTCACCTTCACTGTCATCTAATTCAGATTTGTCACTGACACTTAGATCAGAATGTCAGGGCCTACGTGCATGTGAACCACTGTAGGTTCACAACATGATCTGGATTAGTAATTGTAAGATTATGAGTAGGATGTGAATAGGAAGACAACACAAGAGGCAGATGGCAAGAGAGGTAAAGTCAGATTCCTGGGGCTAATTCCACCAGCAAGAGCTGTGTTTTAACCTGTGATTAAAATCTTAGCATGAACAAGGCAAAATAATGCCTAGACACAACCTAAACTGTTCCAAAAGGGTTAGTCATCACAATAAGCTCATGATTAGACTCTACCTAAAGATTATACAAAATGAATTGCCAAAAACTGCAAGTTTGAGACTGCAAGTCCCCCCCTCATGACTCCCGTTACTATCTCAGTTAGTCTGATAGTCATGTCATCTAGACAAATTCTATAGAAACTCTTACTGTTTTGGATTATTTTTCCAGTCTGAAGAGCCAAATTTCTTATTAGGCATGATCTTGGACAATTGCTGAAACTCTTTCTAAAGCAAACTTTATTATCCTTAATCATGATAAGTTTCATCAGTCCTGGAATAAATGACATTTTACTTTATTACATGCTGTAAGTTTATCACATTTGGCCACATCAAACCTTTTTTACTCAGACAAATGGCTTACTCACAGGAGCTTTCATTTAAAAGTGGACTAAATTAGAAATATAGATGTATGGGTATTCTACAAGATTTAAGAAGTAATGGCATTTTTAGCTTCTCCATATTTCATACTTGATCTCATAGCTAGTGTTTTTCAGCTCTAGAAACATTTAACACCTCAAAATCACTCAGAAAATTCTGAACTCTTGACATTCACCTACAATCAGACTGAAAATTACTTTCTTTAAACATATGATATGCTCTTATTTGGGCGATGCTACTAATCTTCAGTGTGAAAAGCACAGCCACTGAAGACTTGATGCTTAACAATATGCAGTAGCCTAAGGGATTGGAATTTTGTCATGGGAGCCAGGAACAGAATCTAAGCTTCTTTGTCTCTATCCAGATCCCTTTGCTCTGAAGAGGGTCTTGGAACTGCAAATCATAAAACTGGTGCGAAGAGCATTGGCACATCTAGTTGATACAAAAAATGCTGCCCAGGTGAAATCTGTAACAGAGCAAATTCTGTATGCTCAGAGCAGGTGGCAACAGCTGCTCCACAGAAATATGCAAGATTCCTCACAGAAAATGGTTTCTGATGTCTAGATCTCTTTTTGACAGTATTTGCTACATTTTGTGCTTTTAGTATTTAATAATCGGTTTAAGTCTGGAAACATTGGTTTTAGTGTGTTTCCACTCAGTAAAACATAACTCTGGTCATTCTTGTCATGTATGTAAATTTGTCTCTGGATATCCATGTGACATATCTGGAGCATCTTTTCTCCAGTCGAGCCCTAAAGCATCTTATGCTCTCTATTCTTAGACTTTATTGATGCCTAGGCATCTCCAGAGAGTATCTGAGCATGGATTGTCTTTGTCCAGTGACAGCAGAAATGTGCATTTATGTAAAGTGGTGCAGGATTTGTAATGTCACACAGGGTGGAAGGTTTTGCCTAACAGCCAACTTCATAGTGTTGACTTTATTTTGCAAGGACTCAAAAACCCTGGTAAGTGCTGAGTCTGTGGTTCCATGGAAACCAGGTATGCCAATTGTTAACAATATCCTCCAGAAAATCTCTTAAAAAATGGTCATTAATATTAGGATGCCTTCTTTTCATTTAGTTTCTTCTTTCTAGGACCACATGCTACCCACATCAGAAGAAAACTGTGCTGCACATACTGGTTCTGGTAATACTTAAAGCAAGCTATGAAATATAAAAATCAGTTAAAATGATGGTGCTTACCCCGTTCTGTGTCATAGAGGTACACAAACTTTTCCCACTTATAATAAGTCAAGAGACTCAAGATGGCTCCTTTTAATGCTGGCCTCATCTGGATGACAAACTGCACATCTGCATCTGTTGGGAAGCTGGGTGTGATGAAGGATGTGTGAAGGGCTCCACAAAATGACGTCAGTGTGTTCATTGACATCTGGTCATAGAATCCAAAGATGGCATAAACTCCTCTGGAAAACTGTGAACAGACTAAGAAAGACAGACAAGGGTGTGAAAATCTGAAAAACACTGAATGCAATCAAACTTTCAAAGTATATTTGAGGTAAGGCTTCTAACCATTCCTGATATTATTCTGTATGATGCAGCAGATGGAACGAATTAACGAGATAATATATAATAATTTCAGTGTAGCAGTAAATTGTACTGACTTTATAACAATTAAACTGACCTGAACGCATTTTTGATTGTGACTTCTGCTATATTGTAATATTCCATCTCTCCATATTCTCTAAAAACAAACATGGGATTACACTGCCTATCTGTAAAATACCGTCCCTTGACAGCACCTGGAGATCTCTGTTAGCAGCTATGTAACAAATGTCAGGTCTGCCTAAAAGTCAAAACATTAAGGTGTAGTTTTCCAGACTGAGATTTCCTTGATTCAGATCAAAGACATCTGGATGTTTTATTCCCTTACAGTCCATAACTCTGAAATTTCTGTGTGGTCTTTTTCAATGAGAAATTATGGTGACTTCTTACTCAAGTGTTAAAACCTTTCAGAAGAATTTGGAAAGTCTGTGGCTTATTACATGACCTCACAAATAAGCAACACATCTTGTTGCTTCATGGGACAAGAGTTGGTATCCCTTAACTGGGAGGCTTTTAGTAATTAACCATTGTGCTGTCCTGAGGAACCCATCTTGTACCAGAAAATAATCCAAATGCAGACAAAAGCGTCTTTTTTCACACACTTCATTATTTCCCATCCTTTACAGAGATTGAACAATGGCCATTTTGGACAAAAATGAAAGTATTTCAATTTATAAGCATGGCCGACTTCATTGGAGTTGCAGGAAAAAAGATTTTCTTTGTTGTTCAGCTCTGTAGGAAAAGTGCAAACTTCTTGTGACCCTGCATTCTTTCCATGAAGGGATTCTGCATCAGACACAGTGAGGGAGCCTGATCTGTGAGGGGCTGGGGCTCTCACTCATAGCAAAGACTGTACAACTGCAATACACTGTGGCACAGCAGCACTTCTAATCAAACCATTTGTGGACTGAGAAGAGCAAGTCCTATTTGTAATGAAAATAAGTCTCCCAGAAAAATGTTCACTCAATTGTAACAATTTTGCTTGTCAAGAACTGGATTTAACAACAATTTCCAGCTAACCCCAATAAACACTTTTGCCAAAATGCTGCATATTTAACTTTGCAAAAAGCAAGGGCAAGTAATTACCAGTAAGGAAGACCTGACTTCTACACACACATATACAGCATGGTTACTTCTGAGAGCACCATCATGAAACACCTCCCACCACAAAGGCTACCAATTAGAATCACTAAAGACTGCTAAAGTAATCTTAAACAGGATTTTCCACAATATCAGCTCATTGACACAGCATCATGGATAACACCTCAAATCGGCAGTCAGGTGTGAAAATTTGATTTTCTTCCTGGAGGTCCAGATGTAAAAATAAAAATGCTATTAAGGAATTTCTTTAAGTGTTTAAGATACTGTAAGAGGACATGACCAGCTCTGGATACCAGCAGCAAATTACAGCTGGTGCAGACATAAAAGAGACATTCATGAGACACAGAAAGGAAATCAGAAGTGGTGATTTCTGAAATAAAAGTTTGCAGAAGTTCTTCACCACAGTAAAAAAAAGATATAAAAGAAGCTATAATACAGTAAGAATTTATTCCCAGAGGGATGACTGAGGAATTAAATACACTGTTTAAAAAGGCATTTTGTTAAACTGTATACCAGCAGGATATAAAGTTGAAAAGCTTCCATAAAAAATATCTGCTGAAGTAACAAATAAAAAGCATTAACTCACAGGTGGAAAAAGGAAAAAATAAAGATTACATTAGAAAGTCTGGCAGTCTCCAAATCATTTCAATGGTCTGTAAACCCTCTAATTCCACGTGAATAATCAATAGAGTGGGACTAGTGCAGCTCAGTGTCCTCACATACACTGAGCCTGTACCTCACAGATCAGGCTTCTTTTACATATTTATTAATGGCCTAGTTTACTAGTTTTTATGCAGATTCTGTACTGCAGAAAAAAGCAAGTATTCCAGGAAACATCCCTTCTTGCAATGCAAACAAAACATATTCTCAAAGGTCTCCCAATCCTAAAAACCCAGAGTATTTCAAACAATCCCGGGTTCACCCATTCTTTCTTATCAGGTATGAGGTATAAGACTCAGGAATACTTTTGAACTGTGACTCATCTGAAATCGCTCAGCTTTGTAGGGACACTGCATCTGAAAAAAGTCACAAGGGAGCCCCAAAAGCCCAGCATGTTATCCAAGCTTGGGATTTTAATGGAGAATACAGATCAGCTCTTATTAGGACTGCTAGTTCCTACATCCCATACAGTCAGTAGAGAAGAGGTGCAGCACTAAAGGGAACTGACTGGCTGGCTCCAGTGGGACAGTTCCTCTCCCCTGTTCCTCTGCCCTGTGCTGGGAACCAGCTGCAAAGTGGTCAGCTTTGTGCTCTTTCTTGTTCTTAGACGAGCACCAAGGCACTGCAGCCTTGAGTTTGAAAATGGTTCAAGGTCTTCATCCTTTGGACATAATTCTGTCTTTCATGGCTATTTTAAAACACTGAATTAAAATGCATTTTCATAGCAGATTGTGCTCACTTATGCAAAGAGCCCACTCTTAATTTGTGAGTAATCTGAGGAAAAAACCAAACAGAGTCTGTGGACAACCTGACCATAAGCAGGACCTTCTCCATGTAACACCTTGTAGCCACCATGGAGCTGCTGCTTGCATGGAGGCAAGAGCTGCTGATTTGGCCTTTCAGGTATTTGCAACTGTTTTTCCTGAAAATTCTGGATGATCACCAACAATATCTTCTAACAAATGCAAGGCCCTGTCCAGTTGTATTTCCCCTGATTCAGGTTTGTATTCACTGCAGATTTTAAAGATTTAACCCTTTAACAGACTCTCTGTCTTCTGTTAGTAGTTTATTCTTCGTGACTATCCTGCATGCACCGTAGCGTGACAATTTTATTTTACTGACCTGTTTAAAAGGTAAATACACTTTTGTTTTTATAAGGAAAAGCTAAAAGGCCAATTATCTTGGTCCTCTGTGTTTATTTGCATTTTTGAACTCACAGTCTTATCTTTTGTATAGTTTGTGACCTAATCTCCTATATTATCAAAAGAACTAATTGAATATCCATGAACTCGCAGCCATATTGCTATTTGTTTTTCAAAAAACAAGCATATAATTACATTAATTTTAATTACATTATTATTCTAACATCACTGGGTCAGAAGGAAAATTTTAAAAATGGTAACTAAACCTCAGCTTTAATCTCTTTTTACAAAGTACTTTCTATTGACAATCACACCTATCCTCATGTTTGAGTAAGAATTTTGGTATTTTTCCTTAATTAATCACAGCTGATTTATGTTTATTTTTCCCTATTTGAAAAATGCAGATGGTAAAACACATACTTTGGCTGTTAAAGAAATGATTTGGACACATCCTGATGCAAACTCATTCCTCAAGAAAAAAAAAACACAATTTTTTTTGCTGAGCTATGCCTGTATGAAACTGCTGTTAATTAATTATGGTGATGTACATCTCTTTCCAAAGCAAGCACATATGCAAGTTGCTTTATAACTTGATCTGAATAAGTTTCAACCTCCACAAACAAGGGAGAGAGGCCCTGAGCAGCAGTTCTCCAACAGGAGATCATGATAAGCCATTATTTTGGCATTAGGTGTAAGTCTAATAAATAGGTGAGTATTTATTAATGCTGACTTAACACTGGGCTTGTTCTCATAGTACGTGAGCTGCCACACGCCATCGTGTTCAGGAGAGGAAGGGATGATATGATAGAAGCCTGTGAATTCTCAAGCATGTCAAGAGAAGACAAGAAACTTTCAGGTCATGACAGACTGGTGTTTCCTGCCAAGGAAGGAAAATGCTCAGAGCCAAAGTGATCACAGTGGTAAGCAGAATTTACTTTCAAATAAAAAACCAAACCAAACCCAAGCAAACAATATCCCACTTAAGCCACATAAATAAATCTCGGTTTCTGTACTGAAAGCAGCTGAGCTATCCTAAGTGTCAGTGTAACCCAATGAACCCAGACTTCTGTTTTACTTGCAGTTCCATCCTCCCTCCAGACAAGTCAGGCCCACCACTGAAACATGCTAAGATTAACAGGTAAGATTCTTTTCACTCAGACCCCCGGAAGGCCATGGGCCAGAACCTCAAAAGATGCCCCATTTCACACAAGTTCTTCTTAGATGTTTTGTGTCTTTTTAAAATTTATTTTTGCTATCTAATGGTGTTTAGTTTTTCTATCTTCTAGTGACTGTGAGTATTCCTGACACTGCAAGGTTGTACAGGCTCTGACATCTCTACTGTCTATTGCCTGGAAGCTAAAGTCAAAACTTCTGACCCCTTTTTTTTTTTTTTTTACTTCCAGTCTTACTACAAACAACTGAAGCGTTACTAGGAACATTTACAAGCAGTTTTGGATTTTGCTTGTTTAGAGAGAAGACACAAAAAGCCAACAAAAGGGATATGTTAATGGTGGATCTTAATACACCATTTCCACTGGATGATATCATTAGTGACTGAACTGTAAGTGTCAGCAGGACCCTCCACTTCCACACGGGATCCAAGAGCTCAGCAGTTTTGGAGTCAGGGGTTGGAGGTTACAATACTATTCCTTCTTCATTACTCTTTTTATGGACCAGTAATTTCCCCTTTGTCCATATCAATTTCTTATATAGTAGATCTGACAAAATCAACCTGTGTCAAAGGGACACTGCTCCAGTGATACACCTACAGCTCTCTGGGAGGAAAGGCACTGCTGGAGCTCCATCACCACGGACACTACTGCGTGCTGCTCATACCAGTTTGTGGGTTTGTGTTCTGTGTTTCCCTCAGCTGTGAAATAATTTTATTCCCTCCACTTTCTTCTGCCAATTGTCTTGGACTCCACACAATTCTCACTGCCAGCTTCTGCCAACAGACTAATGGGACTACTTTACAAT